AGAACAGCCTGGGCAGAATAGAGACCCTTTCTCTACAAAAAGTTAAATTAGCCACACATGGTGGTGCATACCTATAGTCATACTTACTCAGGAAGCTGAGGCAGGAGGATCACTAGAGCCCAAGAGTTTGAGGCTGCAGTGAGCTACGAATGCCATTGCACTCCAGCCTAAGTGACAGACAGAGACCCTGTCTCCAAAAAAAAAAAAGTTGATTTTTAAAAAAAGGTGACCTAACAGACAAACTTAAAATATTGAAACAGCAAACTTGGGAGAGAAGAAAGAAAACTAGCTTAAAGAGCTACAGTCTCACTTTCGTATCAGGTGTTAAAAGTTGATAAATCAAAATATGGTGGTAAAAGCACATTACTTAGGCTTAAGAAGGTAACAATCTAAGAACTGAATAGAAACAGATGAAAAAAATTAAAAGGTTCCATCTGTGAGCCTTGAGGAGGTGAAGGAAACCACTGTTTTTCAACAAATGTCCTCCTGTATATTGCATTTGTTATCAAGTGCATGGATCATTTGGACAAAAATAATATTCTATCACACATTTCAGAAAAGACAAAACACTAAAATTGTCACTAAAAATTAGAAGTAGCAGCCAAATGTTATAGTCCGAATTGTATTTGAGAGTAGGATAAAATCTTTTTTCTTATAAAATCACGTTATTCAAATGAAAGTTTTTTACAAGAATGTTTGCAATAGAGTAAAGATGGGAAAGTTTACTGAAGCTAGGTAAGTTTCTTCTTTATAATTCCCCATTTTCTGATTTATGTACAAAAAGCATGTATTCTATTTATAATCAGAGACCTTTTAAAAATTTAATGTGATCAGTATTCAGTGTGCCAGGTTGCCCAATGTCTCCACACACCAGCCTGATACAGGAGATTTAGAGGACAGCAATAATGAATGAACACAGTGGTTTTCAGGGGCCAGGTGTTTTAACATTCAATCTGCTCCCTTGTTACACTAATTTTTAAAAAATGTTTATTTAGAGACATGTTGGGGGTAATAGGGGCTGCAGGTGGGCACCACCACGCCCTGGTCATTGTTACTCTAAAGGAATATCTGAATACCACAGGAGACCTGAACATCACAGGAAAGGTGTGAATGTTTGGCAAAGGTGCCTTTAGGAGGTTCCAGAAAGTGATTAGATCATATACCCCAGAACAGTCTTACCTGAGAAAATGACAAAAGGCTTCTTAGATGTCCAGGCTTTGTTTCCCATTAAGTTCATTGTTTAGCTAAGGAGGTGACATGGGGGAAAGGTGGGGGTGGGAAAAAGGAAAACTGTTCCCTAAGTAGACAGCAACAGATTAGAGGTCCAGTCCAGGGTCCACCATTAAATAATCACATGACGACTGGGCATGGTGGCTCACACCTGTAATCCCAGCACTTTGGGAGTCCAAGGCGGGCAGATCATGAGGTTGGGAGTTCAAGACCAGCCTAACCAACATGGTGAAACCCTATCTCTACTAAAACTACAAAAAATTAGTCGGGCATGGTGCGTGCCTGTAATCCCAGCTACTCAGGAAGCTGAGGCAGGAGAATCCCTTGAACCCAGGAAGTGGAAGTTCCAGTGAGCCAAGATTGAGCCATTGCACTCTAGCCTGGACGACAGAGTGAGACTCTGTCTAAAAAAAAAAAAAAAAAAACAGAGAAAATAACCACATGACTTTCCCAAAGTCACATTGTCACCCTTCCCTGGCCTCAGTTTTCTAGTCAAAAACAAAACAAAATAAAATTGACGCTTGTCATTCTTAAATCCTTTCATTTCTGATGTATAAAGCCCTCAACTCCTAACAGAGTCAAGAAGAAGATTCTTTTTCTGGCTAGGCATAGTAGCTCATGCCTGTAATCCCAGCATTTTGGGAGGCCGAGGCAGGAGAATCACTTGAGTCCAGGAGTTTGAGACTGGCCTAGGCAAATAGTGAGATCCCATCTCTACCCTGGTCAAATAAAAAAATTTTTAAAAGGGCTGGGTGTGGTGGCTCACACCTGGAATCCCAGCACTTCGGGAAGCCAAGGTGGACGAATCACAAGGCCAGGAGATCAAGATCAGCCTGGCCAACATGGTGAAACCCTGTATCTACAAAAAATACAAAAAAATCCTGGGCATGGCGGTGCGGGCCTGTACTCCCAGCTACCCAGGAGGTTGAGGCAGGAAAATCATTTGAACTAGGGAGTCAGAGGTTGCAGTGAGCCAAGATTGCACCACTGCACTCCAGCCTGGTGACAGAGCGAGACTCCATCTCAAAAAAAAATAGAAAGAAAGAAAGTCAGAGAACTCTTGGCAGATTGCTTATCCTGAAAGACAATAGTCACTGACAGATTCTTAAGCTCTCTTAGTCACTTGGCCAAGAAACTTCCAGGGATCAGGCCATCAGATCAGACTAGGCTTACACATTTTTTTTTCCAGCTGTCATTTTCATTGACTACCCAAAGTGAAATGAAGATGCACTCTGCTTTGGATTGGAGAGTGGTTGGGGGATGGGCAGAGAGATCACAGCAACTTTCTCTACGTCCAAGGCTAACTTCTACTTTTGCCCTCATTCACAGGTAATTCTGAGCTACTCCAATCATTCAAAACACAATGTACAAAAGAAATTTTTTTATTTTGCATTTGTTTTGGGGTGATTTTCTTTCTTTTTTTTGAGACAGAGTTTCGCTCTTGTTGCCTAGGCTGGAGTGCAATGGCTCAATCTCGGCTCACCGAAACCTCCGCCTCCCAAGTTCAAGCGATTCTCCTGCCTCAACCTCCTGAGTAGCTGAGATTACAGGCATGTGCCACCACGACTGGCTAATTTTGCATTTTTACTAGAGATGTGGTTTCTCCATGTTGGTCGGGCTGGTCTTGAACTCCTGGCCTCAGGTGATTCACCCACCTTGGCTCCCAAAGTGCTGGGATTACAGGCATGAGCCACCGCAACCAGCCATTTCAGGGTCTTTTTCACCTAACTTTCCTCAGATATTAGGCAAGCCTAGCTCTTAATTCATATTTTTAATAACCACAGTTATACTGATCATATACCGTATGTGTATGTGTATATATTTATAAACATAGTTTAGAAATCATGTGGGGCCAGGCATGGTGGCTCAGGCCTGTAATCTCAGCACTGCAAGAGGCCAAGGCAGGCAGAACACTTGAAGTCAGGAGTTCAAGACCAGCCTGGCCAACATGGTGAAACCCTGTCTCTACAAAAAAAAATACAAAAATTAGCTGGGTGTGGTGGCATGTGCCTATTGTCCCAGCTACACAGGGAGCTGAGGCAGGAGAATTGCTTGAACCCAGGAGGCAGAGGCTGCAGTGAGCCGAGATCGCACCACTGTACTCCAGCCTGAGCAAGCTCCACTGCGCTCCAGCCTGAATGAGAGAGCAAGAGCCTGTCTTAAAAAGAAAATCATTTGGGAGCAAAAATCACCCCTCAAATTATTGACAATTATTGGTTCTCTTTTTATTTGTATTCATCACTAAGTCCATGGCAATAAACGCCACAATAAAATATTTGAAACTGCATTTACCTAATTAAAGTTAATATATAATGCCAGCTCTTTTGGACCTGAATGCACTATATAAACTGTCATCCTTCAGAACAATATCATCACATTTAGAAAAATGTCATGTAATTACATCACACATTTGACTCCACCAGCTACTTAGAAGTCAAAGCACTGAGCACATGTCCAAACTATCACTCAATAACCCAGAGAAGACCAGCTGTGGCATAAACGACCATCAATTCAGTTTCAGCATCTCAGCACTGCACCAACCCAGAAACAAAAAAAGAACTCCTTGAACAAGATGTCAACAGCTTTGGGATGGGGAAAGAATAAGAACTGGTCACCGGTATGAGTAAAAGGGCTCACCATAATAAACTTCATCCATCATTGTGTATTCATTCTTAGGGTTCAATTAATGCCAAAGAAATGCTTGATTAAACTTTTTAAATTGTATATAATGTCTTCACTTTTGAAATTTGAAATAAGGCTGCTCTATGAGCTTTAAAATGAAGTCTAAGTCAAGTTCTTAGGAGAGGAGTTTCCCTTGCTGGCAGTGCAGGCAATCCTGAAGCAAGTGGTCAGGCTGGCACAACCTCCATCCACGGCTTTGATAGCCGGACCCTGTGACCTCACTGGAACATTTCAAGTTCCAGCTTGGTTTGTCCTGAGGAATGTAGTTATCTTAGGGTACCACAATTGGAACAATCTCCTCTAGTGTTTGAGAATATCTTTTCCTGTGGGGTGTAATTTGAAAATTTGAATCTAATGTAAAATTCATGACATCAACAAGCTGGAACAATGTGAAAGGAAGAAGAGTGACAAAGCAGGCTTGTGATTTGATGATATTTTAGGTTAACAAGTTTAATGTGATAAAACTCCTGACACAATTTCCACACAGTTGCTTTGTCCAGCCCACAACTACTTCACTACACAGTTGCTAATTACATTACTGTGCTGTGTGGTCATTATGTCACGCAGCTGGGAGCAGTAAGGCCTACCAGCCACTGTTCACTTTTCCAGCTTGCTTTTCCCAAAAAGATAGAGACTGCAGACCACCTACTCCACTAAGAGTCCCTCTGTTCCCCAGCCTCGCAGCTTTTCTCTCATTTATCTTGGTGTCACAGCCCAAAGGGCCTGGCTCTGGACTATCTGTCTGAGTGGCCAGGGAAAAGCCTAAGGATCTGTGCCTAGGAGTAGGTTTCAATCCTGCAGATTCAGGGCAAAGTCACCTGTGTGTTTTATGGAGGATGAACTTCACCACACTCTCTTCTGCTTCTGATCCCTTACAATTCCAACACCCAGAGACTCATTCCTTGCTTCCAGCTCTCCATATCTGTGAAATAACCGTGGAAGGACACGCACCATCTCTCTCCCTCTGTCTCTCTGTCTGCCTGTCTCTCTCTCTCTCTGACTCACTCACACACCCATACACACACACGAAGACGCACGTGGGTTGGGCACCGTGACTTGGTGTCCCCTTCGGATCCAGGCTGACTTACTTGAGGAAGTACCTCTGGCCAGTGGCGGTGAAGGTCATCTCCCAGCCCGGGGGCAGCGGCAGCTCGTCGGTCACGTCGTAGGACTGCTGGCGGAGGTGCGCGTGCTGCTGCGCGGGGCTAGCCGCAGCGCCCGCGCCAGTGCCCAGCTGCAGGGACGCGGGCGACGAGTGCGAGCGTACATGCTGGGCACCCCCGACCAGCCGAGGCCCTGGGTGGCCGCCCGACGAGTCGGTGCTAGACTGGCGCGAGTGCGAGCCCGAGTCAGGCTCCTTGAAGAAGGACTCCGGCAGGATCTTCTTCCGCCACGAGCTAGGCTTCGGGTTCATGACAGAGTTGAAGAGGGCTTCGAGGTCTGTGTCTAGGTCCTGCGTGACGTGGATCACTTGCTGCCCAGGCGGCGGGAGCGGAGGGGGCGCCGAGGCCGGATTCATCTTCTGCAAAAAGAAGGTCAGATTAGCCTTTTCTTTAAAGTCGGAGGAAGTGGGTAAGCGGGTTGAGGGTGAGAGAGCGAGACGGTGGGAAGGAGAGCAGAGGGAAAAGGAAACGAGGAGACAGATAATTGCTCGCCTGGAGAGCCCAGACACTCAGCGGTAAGACCAGCAGGATGGGGGAGGGGTCCCTCCTGGCCTCGAGAATTATGCAACTTTCTTGAAGCAAAGAAGTTGCCTGGAGGAGGAGAAGGAAGGGCGGGGGATGGAGGGAGTAACTGCACTTTCGGCTTGCGGAGCCGCAGGATGGCAAAGGGAAGGTCTCAGCTTTCCAGGAAAGGCAGCCCCCCTAAAGAAGTTCAGCCCGAACCAACTCCACGACGTCTCGACTCCGGAAGCCCGGAGTCCTGGAATGGTGCTGGGAGAGCGCGCGAGCTCCAGAGGGCACTACCTGGGCGGGCAGCGAAGCTCAGCCTAAGCGCACCGCGGCCGCCGTCCCGCCCGAACTTGCCGTCGGGCCTGGGTCGCTCGGGTGAGTCCCGAGATTGCGCAGCTGGAGCCGAGGCTAGGCTGACAAATTCCAACCAGACTCGGTGCCTGGCAGCCTAGGGACTTCGGCTCTCACATCCCCCGAGCTGGCCTCAGGCGCTTGCGCTCGGAGAGAAGGAGGCGCAGGAGAAGCAGACAGCGCGGCCGCAGCAGCTCCCCGGACTGTCCCATAAACAAAGTTTGGAGCAAACTCCCACCCCCAGGAAAGAGGCGGGCCCGAAAGTTGAGCTATTGAATTATGTATGACCTCCTAGTCCCGAGCCGGCCAGCCCCCGCTCGCCCCTCCTCTTCCTCCTCCTCCTCCTCCTCCCACCCCGGCTCCAGAAAACCCTGGGTGTGATGGGTACTTTACTGGGTAAGAGGAGACGGGTGCCCCCCACCCACTCCTCCCGGCTGCGCGGACCTCTCCCGCGGAGCCCTACATCTGCATTCCTTTGAGTTTACCACGGACTTGGGGCGGGATCAAAAGGAAAGTGGCCCAAGCCTGTTTCATCAAGGGGTTGTGGACCGAAACCAAGGCCGGGGGTGGCGAAGGTCACGCGGATGAGGGGCTCAGGCCTGGGTAGGGCCGGTCCCGGACACCGCGCGCTCCCCTGTAGCCAGGCGCCGAGGCCGGCAGCACCCGGAGCGCCGCACCGACCGGCGATTCTGCCCGAGGGCCGGCCCGGGTGCGCCCCGGCGCGGGGAGACACCAACAAGGCCAGCCTTTCCACGGGAGGCTGTTTAGCTCTTGTGACCATATTTGGTCTGGCGAGAAGGCATCTTGGCTGCTTGGCTCTCAATTGTCTGCTGGAGTACAGACGGTGCCCAGAAAGTGCCTCTGTGGAGATGCGGCTTCGCCAACGGCTGGGTTGTAAACAAACAACTTTCAAACCATTCACCAATCCTTAATTTCCTCTACAGGGGTGACTCAGGCCTCTAGGGATTGAGAAGAAACCGGGTCAAAGCTGGGTGCTGGAAGAGAAGAGCAACTGCGCCCCCCTCCCCCGCAACATCCGTGAGGGTTGTGGGAGGATTGGAATGTCCCTGCCGCCCTCCAGAGAGCCTGGAGCCGGGATAGAACCCGAGCAGGTGGCTGGGAGTAGTGAGGGTGCGCCAATGACCCGGAAACAGCCACCCACCTTCCCACCGACTAGATCTGGGCGAGGGGTGGAGACCCCCTGCCTCTAGCTAAGGGGTCAAGCCTGGCGAAACAGCTGCGGGAAGTGGAAGGAGGCCTTGCCCTTCAGAGCAGCTCAATTCCTTTTCTCTCTGGTTCTCTCTCCACTGAGGGGAAAAGGTGCGGGGCGAGGGGGGCGTGGGGGGAATGGCGAGGTAAGCCCACTCCATCTGATTCAAATAGTTTATAAAGAAAATCAAATGAGACAATGTAAAGCACTTCGCACAGCACCTAGCTGGTTACGTAAGTGTTTGTTAAATAAAACAGAACTGCATGTTCTTTAAGTTGACGTATTGTGCCTTAATATTTTTATAGGGTAAAATAAAGTCAAAGTTAAAATCTGGAGTTGCCTTGAAGGAGAAAGTTTAAGGAAAAGACAAGGCCTCTCGTAGTTTTGCCTTGGAAAAGGTGGAATTTTGGGGCCACTCCCTTGAATGGCTGCATCCATACCCAAAACAGAACTACACCCACCAAAGTGAGCCACTTCCCCTGTTATCTGTACTTGGAGGTGTGCTCCAGTTCCAGACTCCTCACAGACTGGAAAAAATTAGGACTGCCTTAAATGAAGGCAGGCATAGATGTAACATCCGGTTTTTTTGTTTGTTTGTTTGTTTGTTTGTTTGTTTGTGTTGAGACAGAGTCTCACTCTACTGCCCAGGCTGAAGTGCAGTAACCTGATCTCAGCTCACTGCAACCTCCGCTCCCTGGTTCACGCAATTTTCCTGCCTCAGCCTTCAGAGTAGCTGGGTTTACAGGCGCCTGCCACCATGCCCAGCTAATTTTTGTATTTTTAGTAGAAACAGGGTTTTGCCATGTTGGCCAGACTGGTATCAAACTCCTGATCTCAAGTGATCTTCCTGCCTTGGCCTCCCAAAGTGCTGGGATTACAGGCGTGAGCCACCACGCCCAGCCATGTATCATGTTTAAACATAAGCAGAGGACAGTTCCTTTCAAGAGCCTTTGAAACCAGGTGTTTTCCATGCAGCAAGTTCTCTGCCCATAGGACTGGCAAAAGGAAAAGGGAAGCTAGCACAGGTCACTCCTTGGAAAGTAGAATCTTTGCAAGCTACTCTCAGAAGCCATCACAGTTGCAATGACGGGGGAAATATGCTATCAAACTAGAAGAGGTGACTGGAACATAATGATACTAATTCAGAAGTCGCAAGGCTGACTTGATGATTAAAGAATGAGAACTTGAGGCCAGCCTGGCGAGGTGGCTCACACCTGTAATCCCAGCACTTTGTGAGGCCAAGGCGAGTGGATCATGAGGTCAAGAGTTTGAGATCAGCCTGGCCAATATGGTGAAACTTCGTCTCTACTAAAAATACAAAAATTAGCCAGGTATGGTGGCACTTGCCTGCAGTCCCAGCTACTTGGAAGGCTGAGGCAGAAGAATTGCTTGAACCCGGGAGGCAGAGGTTACAATGAACCAAGATCGTGCCACTGCACTCCAACCTGGGTGACAGAGCAAGACTCCATCTCAAAAACAAAGACCAAGAAAAAGAAAACTTGAGGCCAGCCCTATTCCAGGAAGCTCTTCATCCCAGAAGAAAAGTAAGAATCAGGGTTGGAATTGGATGGGCAAGGATGCAGTCTTCGTTTCTTTCCAAGCTTCAAGAAATAGATAGTGCAACAGATAGAGTAGATATCTGAAAGGGAAGTTGTCCTTAACACAGGAAAACTGAAAAACTCCCAGTTCCAAAATAGCATATAAGATATAACAGTGAATAAGGCAGAAAATTTGCTGTTGTCCCAGCCCTATAGCTTCAGATTAACATTTACAGGTATTTTGATGTATCAGGTACTGCCCATAAGAGGCAGCATAGTGGATAAGTATAGAGTTTCTAGAACAAAACACCTGAGTCACCTCAGACAAGACATTTAAGCTCTCTATTTCTGGGTTTCCTCATTTGTAAATTAGGGACAATAACATTACCCACCCCCACAGGATTCTAGGTTAAAACATATACAACTTTTATTTGTTGACATTTGATTTAGAACACAATCTTTGAAGCTGGTTCTACCCTCTACATTATGCAAGTAACTTATCAGCCCTAAGTTACAGTTTACTCATTTACAAACTGGAAATGCTATATTGCTGCCTTTCAATGACCCAGCCTCATGGTTTTGTTTGTTTGTTTTTTGAGATAGAGTCTCGCTCTGACTCCAGGCTTGAGTGCAGTGGCGTGATCTCGGCTCACTGCAACCTCCACCTCCCGGGTTCAAGCAATTCTCCTGCCTCAGCCTAACGAGAGTAGCTGGGACTACAGATGCGCACCACCACACCCAGCTAATTTTTGTATTTTTAGTCGAGACAGATTTTCACCATCTTGGCCAGGCTAGTCTTGAACTCCTGACCTCATGATCCACCCACCTTGGCCTCCCCAAGTGCTAGGATTACAGGTATAAGCCACCGTGCCTGGCCAGGCTCATGTTATTTATACCTTATATAGCCCCTTCCACTTAATCTGGACTGGGCCAGTGATTTGCCTTAACCAGAAAAATGCAGCAGTGAAGTTATGCCAGTCCCCCGCCTTCCCCATCCCATCCCCTAGGAAGGTAGGTTTCCACTTTGTACTTTTAGGATACCTGAGCCACTAGGTAAGAAGTCCAGTTACCCTGCTGGATAAACCACATGGAGAAGGAAATGCCCTGAGACACTTGGAGAGAGGAAAAAGTCCAGCTGCCCAGCACCTGAGCTGAGCCCACCCTCAGCCAACCCCACCAGCTGATTGCAAACACACCAATAAGACCAGCAGAGCTGCAGAGCCAAGCCCAGCCTAGATTGCAGAACTGTGAGCAAATAAAATGGATATTGCTTTAAGCCACAAAATATTGAATTTTTTTTTAGTGTAGAATGTGCATTCTAAGAATTTAAAAAAAAAAAAAAAGCAAATTTTTTTCTTTTTTTTGAGACAGGGTCTCACTCTATGCCCAGGCTGGACTTGATCTCGGCCCACTGCAACCTTCGCCTCCCAGGTTCAAGCGATTCTTGTGCCTCAGCCTCTCAAGTAGCTGGGGACTACAGATGTGCACCACTACACCTGCCTAATTTTTTTTTTTTTTTAAGACAGAGTCTCACTCTGTGGCCCAGGTTGGAGAACAATGGCAAGATCTTGGCTCACTGCCACATCTGCCTCCCAGGTTCAAGCGATTCTCCTGCCTCAGCCTCCTGCGTAGCTAGGATTACAGGCGAGTGCCACCACTCCCAGCTAATTTTTTTTTTTTTTTTTTTTTTTTTTTTTTTTTTTTTTTTGAGACAAGGTTTTATTCTGTCCCTCAAGCTAAAGTGCAGTGGTATGAACTCCGCCTCCCGGATTCTTGTGCCTCAGCCTCTCAAGTAGCTGGGGACTACAGATGCGCGCCAAACACCCAGCTAATTTTTGTATTTTTAGTAGAGACGGGGTTTCACCACGTTGACCAGGATGGTCTCGATCTCTTGACCTCGTGATCCACCCGCCTCAGCCTCCCAAAGTGCTGCCCAGCTAATTTTTTTGTATTTTTAGTAGAGACGGGATTTCACCATGTTGGTCAGGCTGGTCTCGAACTCCTGACCTTGTGATCTGTCCACCTCAGCCTCCCAAAGTGCTGAGATTGCAGGCGTGAGCCACTGTGCCCAGCTTAATTTTTGTATTTTTTTTTTAGTAGAGACAGGATTTCACTATGTTGGCCAGGCTGGTCTCGAACCCCTGCCTCAAGTGATCCGCCTACCTTGGCCTCCCACAGTGCTAGGATTACAGGCTTAAGCCACCTCGCCTGGCCACAGATAAAGTTTTTAACATAAAGCCTGTTTAACATACTAAAGCACTCAACAAATAATGGCTGTTTTGTCTCATGGAGACCTAAAGAATAGGTATTATATTCTACGTCCCGGTTTTACAGATAAGAAAACTGGATTGATGAATTTGAAAGTATTTTGTCCAAACATTTACAATGAAATCATGTACATTAAAGAACCTGAGATTTCAGCCTAGGGTTTGTAACTCTAGAGCAGAGTGCATTCTCCAGAGTGCATCCTGTGTCGGCCAGGAGTTCCTCCCTGGTATTGCCATTTTAAATCGTATGATACCTTTTGTCTGACTATCTCACAGAGAAACTCTATAGTTTTTAT